ACATTTTACTTTCAGTGTAACTTAATTGTATGTCATTGCTATGATTCAAGACCAGTGGTTTTACTTCGAGTTACGAGTCAGTTGCTCCCAGGATCTATACACTGAAACATGTACGCCTTGAGAAAAATAGACTCACTTTGTGCTGTTATAGGGAGGGTGTTCAATAATCTGTAATGATTTTTTCTGTGTGTTTAATCTGGCGGGAAATCTTTCTGATAGCGCTAAATGTGAAATTCATGGAAAATCAGAATTTCAGTAAACAGAGACTTACTTATAAAACAAGTAAAACGTTCTGTCGTTTCACCTTTCCACTAAGAAATCGAACACATTACATTTCATGTTGAAAGTAGATCTCAGAAGATCTAATTGTAATAAAAGTAATCAAAACCTGCGTAATCCTATTTCTACAGCTGAATCATTATCATTATTAAGTTCAGAATCTTACAAAACCAACTTAGTGTTAACTTGAGTAAGGAAGCAAATTATGCTAATATAATAATAGGTAGGCAAACAACGATTTATAAGCAGAAGGAAAAGTTTTATTGATGGTAGAACATGTTTTTACAGAACACTGATCTGTCTTCTTCAGGTTCCACCATAAAAAAAAGCTTCTCTTTATGCTTATAAATCGTTTGTTTGCCTAGCTATTATCATTTAGTGTTAAGTCGCAAACGTAAAAAAAACATCGTAAGTAAGGGATCAAATTTTTGTAGTTTGTAATTTTTTTAAATAACAAACTGTAAGTAAGGGATCAAATTTGCGTAGCTTGTAATTTTGCAGAACATATAGCTACAGAACCATATTAGTAAAAATAACTATTAAGTAATCATCTCTAGTTTTATTAGACACGAAACAAACACACAAACACATGTAGAAGTAACTGCAAAAACCAATGTACTATTATGGTATGTTTCTTTATTCATATTCAAGACTGAATAGAATATTAAGTATAAAATAATTCCATAAAAAATAATATTTCTTCAGGAATATGATGTTAAAGCCATGCAATGGTTAATGTGCTGTAAATGGTATAATATGGGTTATGAACCAAACGAAGCTGAAAAAAAAAAACTGTTTTCGAAGAAACATTTCTTTGATTTTATCAGACACCAAATGAAAAGTAAAAATGTAATTCAGTTGATATAACAGTATGCAAGGCGTAAGAAACAACTATAACCCTATCAATATACTAAAGGTAAGGAAAGAAGAAATTAACCACGAGTAAATTAAACATTTAATTCAATCATCAAATACTTAAACTAATGTTTTTTCATATAATTCAGCCACAGTAATTTCCTGGAAAACTCCAAAAGCCACACCTTCACATTCAACATATAACCTTCGTCGAAGAGACGCAGCCACACCTTCACATTCAACATATAACCTGCGTCGAAGAGACGCAGCCACACCTTCACATTCAACATATAACCTTCGTCGAAGAGACGCAGCCACACCTTCACATTCAACATATAACCTGCGTCGAAGAGACGCAGCCACACTTTAAATTGAGAAACAAGAATAAATGACTGTTTTGATTTTGCTGGCACATTTTGTCATGTCTCTAACAAAATAAAATAAGGATACTAGTTTTCAATTCCATTACAATGTAAATAACTCAAATAAAATATAACCAATCAGGCAAGATGTGGTAACAAGTAGTGCTGTTAGAGTGTATAAAGTTTCATCCACAGGTATTACAACCAGGCAAGATGTGATAACAAGTACTGCTGTTAGAGTATTTAAAGTTTCATCCACAGTTATTACAACCAGGCAAGATGTGGTAACAAGTACTGCTGTTAGAGTGTATAAAGTTTCATCCACAGTTATTACAATCAGGCAAGATGTGGTAACAAGTACTGCTGTTAGAGCAGTTAAAGTTTCATCCACAATTATTAGAACCAGGCAAAATGTGGTAACAAGTAGTGCTGTAAGACCATATAAAGTTTCATCCACAGTTATTAGAACCAGGCAAATTGTGGTAACAAGTAGTGCTGTAAGACCATATAAAGTTTCATCCACAGTTATTACAATCAGGCAAGATGTGGTAACAAATACTGCTGTTAGAGTATTTAAAGTTTCATCCACAGGTATTAGAACCAGGCAAGATGTGGTAATAAATACTGCTGTTAGAGTATTTAAAGTTTCATCCACAGTTATTAGAACCAGGCAAAATGTGGTAACAAGTACTGCTGTTAGAGTATATAAAGTTTCATCCACAGTTATTAGAACCAGGCAAAATGTGGTAACAAGTACTGCTGTTAGAGTATATAAAGTTTCATCTACAGTTATTACAACCAGGCAAGATGTGGTAACAAATACTACTGTTAAAGTATTTAAAGTTTCATCCACAGTTATTAGAACCAGGCAAAATGTGGTAACAAGTACTGCTGTTAGAGTATTTAAAGTTTCATCCACAGGTATTAGAACCAGGCAAGATGTGGTAACAAGTACTGCTGTTAGAGTATTTAAAGTTTCATCTACAGTTATTACAACCAGGCAAGATGTGGTAACAAATACTACTGTTAGAGTATTTAAAGTTTCATCCACAGGTATTACAACCAGGCAAGATGTGGTAACAAGTACTACTGTTAGAGTATTTAAAGTTTCATCTACAGTTATTACAACCAGGCAAGATGTGGTAACAAATACTAGTGTTAGAGTATTTAAAGTTTCATCCACAGGTATTACAAACATTTTGTATAGTGTAGAGAACTTATAATATCCATCCTACTCTTTGTCTAACAATTCTTATATTAGCAAGATGGTAGTGTGAAAAAAAAAATGATTGATAAGGAAAGGTAAAATGTAAATCCATATTCCTTAAGTCCGTAAAAATGTATGTACAAAAAAATAAATTATTTATTTAATGTACATTGAAATTTATTCTCCCTTTTACAAAATAACATAATTATTTATGTTAATTACAAACATTTTAGAATTAATTTAAAATTTTGTGATAGTTTCAAAGTTGTGGGTAAATATTCCTCATGTATTTTGTGTACATACTGGCTATGCTACTCAGTAATATTTCAGATATAATCTGTTATAGAACATATTATATAATATCAATCTACCCTTTAACTAACTAATATCACCTCTCATGTTTATCAGCATACAAAAAGATTAAAAATTTCGTAATTTTTCATACTTTGTTTCACAAATAATTCATCTTCAGTAATGAATCCCGGACCAAAATTATGTCACTATTTATTATTTTTTGTACAACAGTGAATTAATTGATCACGTAAAAGTTTACAAATATGCTCATTTTGGGGCATTTTAGTGGGGTTCAGAAGCTAAATAAACCCATAATTTTACGGGTTTTGATCAAATACTTGGCCTTTTTTCGACCAATCTACATGGAATTTAGTACAAATATAGATATTTTTACAGGTCCTAAAAATGAGACATAAACACTTTTCGATTTTTTTTTTTTATCTTTTGCTAAACTTTTCAGCGAGAAAAGCACAGTTTGAGGTTTTCGTGAACTATTCGCCCTACAGTGGCACAGCGGTACGTCTACTAAAAACCGGGTTTCGATTCCCATGGTGGGCAAAGCACAGACAGCCCATTATATGGCTTTGTGCTTAACTACAAAAAAACAATCGTGAGCTATTCATATTTATATCAACCAACTTACATGGGATTTGGTATAAAGATCCCAAACATTTTGCAGATCCCAAGCAGCGATATAAACAGTTTTAGATACAAGTAATTCGATTTTCTGAAAATTACAATAGACTGGCTTATGCAAGACTGATACCAGCAGTAACGTGAGATGAGGCTGAGTTTATATGTTTTGTTGCATTTCATGTAAAGCTGCACAAGTTTATATATGAATAGACTTCTTTTAAAGCTCATATACAGTTAAACGTGCACAAGCGTTCAGCGACATATCGCTGACTCGAACCTCTAATCTTCCGGTCCGTAACTTGATACGCTAACCAGTAAGTAATCTCAGGCCTACAACACACACACACACACACACAAATGGAAAATGAAATATTTTAGCCACACTAAACTATAACAGATATATTAACAGTAAGGTAAACCTTAGTCTCACCATATATACAAAGTTTGGCAACATCCAGGGCATCATTGTCAGGTCAATAGTATTTTTAACAGGCTACTTATGTAGGCAAATATTTCTTTGTTTTATATGGAATGAAACTTCCTTCAAGTTTTCGGTTTATTTATTCTCTGAAATATGACACATTTGTTCCATTGTTTAGTTTCTTATTAATATATAGAAAAATTAAACCATGCTATGTACTTATCATACAATATACTAGAAATAAAATTATCCAATATATGCTGTATTAGCAGATTGAAAAAAAAAGTATATTTATTACAACGTCAGAGCTTTTTCTGTATTGCATTTTGCCTTTTATTTGTTTTATTTAGGTTTGTATTACTATTTGATTATTTGTATATCTAGGTTTGTACTACTATTTGATTATTTGTATATTTAGGTTTGTTTTACTATTTGATTATTTGTATATTTAGGTTTGTATTACTATTTGATTATTTGTATATTTATGTTTGTTTTACTATTTGATTATTTGTATATTTAGGTTTGTATTACTATTTGATTATTTGTATACTTAGGTTTGTTTTACTATTTGACTATTTGTATATTTATGTTTGTTTTACTATTTGATAATTTGTATATTTAGGTTTGTATTACTATTTGATTATTTGTATATTTAGGTTTGTACTACTATTTGACTATTTGTATATTTAGGTTTGCTTTACTATTTGATAATTTGTATATTTAGGTTTGTACTACTACTTGATTATTTGTATATTTAGGTTTGTACTACTATTTGATTATTTGTATATTGAGGTTTGTATTACTAGCAAAAAGCGTGAGATTCTGTTATTATACAATGATCAAACATTTTTATTACATTTTTAACAATCAGCTCTTTACATTTTCATCAGTTTGGAACCAAACCTTATAAATATGTGAACAATTTGTAGCCATTTTCAATCATTTTTATTTTATGTACTTAAGTTTAGGACACATTTTCAATATCTAATCTTTCTGTCAAAGAAATTCACCGAACCGTTCTTCTGAGAGTGATGGAAGAAAAAGGTAAATGTAACTTTGTGTTTAGAATTTTCACTTAAATCCAAACAAGGATTATCGCACATAATCGTGCCAAACTATTATCTGATGGATTATAGAATCGGTTCTCAACCTTTTCTCTTTTTTTTCTTGGTTCAAGTTATATTTGGAAACATTTATGGAAAGGTCGTGACCCGGTGAAAGGTAAAAAGTGTTTTTTTTTGCTACTTTAATCGATTAATTATATTCGACAGTCACTATTATAGAACACTCACGGTCGTAAAGTGCGTTTTTGTGGTTATGGTTCGCGAAACATGAATCTGCAGATTAATAGTTCGGACAGGCTATGTAAATATAACTTTTTATCAAATAAATAAATTACCGATAACTAGATAAAATAAGATTTGAAATTTGAGCCTCATTAACGGCTCATAAAATGGCTTTGATTTTTTTCAAGATCAAACTCTTAGCTAATATAAAAACGTTTAATTTTAACAACTAAATGATAGGTTATATATTAATTTGCGAATCAGGAATCTGAATCAGTTAAAGAACAGATTGCGTGTAAAAAATAAATAGAAATTATGATTAACACTGGACAATATCAGATAAATGTCAAGGACACCTTTGTAAGTTCTTGAAGAGAGGCTTTTCATACTAGTTTGTGGTCGAAAAATGTTTTAATACTTCAAGATTTTTGTTCACTCAGTCTTTTAACGTAGGTAAAATAATGTTAAATTAAGAATATCCTGGTATTCACTGTTTGATATAGCCTTAATGCTGCCTATAAGTGACTCTAATGCAAGGCTTTAGGAAAAAAAGACATATTTGTTAGATTTTGTGGACAGATTAAGTACTGTTTCACAAAATTATTTTTACGTTATATATAAGAATAATAATATATATTAAACTATATATATATATATATATATAGCCTTTGCCTATATATGACATTCTTTTCCAAATTTATATGTAAACCCTTTGGAAACTTAAATAATACACCAAAACCATAAGCCATTCAAGAAATCCCCTTAAGATGCTAATAGTGATAGAGTGACATAACTGTTGTTATTATTTATAGATTTGATGATAAGCCACCTGCACTGATTTTCTTGTTCAATGCCAGTTTAAATATATTGATCAATATACTTTCCTTTATACGTAGTTTCAGTTCCCTGTTTGTCTTTAAGTTGTCCTCTACGAGCTGTTGAGCTGCGGTTAGACCATCTTCATGTGAGAAACTAAACATTGAACAGGATCTGCGCATAAAGGAAAGCCTATTGATCAACAGACTTAAACCGGGATTGAATGAGAAAAACAGTACACTTCATTTATTATTAAATCTATAGGTGTTAGCAGTACCGAAACGTTGTATTAAGTTGCTAACCTTAATATGGTTTCTAACCTCAGTCTGGAAACTCGTAAGGACAATTTAAAGACAAACAGAAAACATAAATTTAGTATAAAGAGGAGAGACTATTGACCAGACACTGCAATCTGTTTATTCGGTTCAGCATACTGTCAACATTTCATGAAATCATAGCTAATCAGATATATTGTTGAGAGGACTTTAACAACACCTACATTATACATCATCATATTTTACTCCATCAAACTGTCCTGTATTTGTTAGCTTTCCTGCTCGATACGACTGCATAAAACTGATTCTGCACATATAGTACGCTTTGATCTTTGTATGACATTAGCTTACAGAGAAACAGGCATATCAAGAGTCATGTCTTAACCACACCTTCGGAACTTCAGTGTACGAATAACGGCTGCCCTCCCACACACCCCCCTTTTTTTGACGTCTAGCTGTCGATTTACAGGACTCGCTATATGTATCACAGCTCACGTCCTTATGGACAGATAAGAAGTCTGAGTTTCTTATTGTCGCCTTGTAACTATGAAAGGTGACAGGATTTCAGAAAATGTGTCATAAAAAGTGAAGCAAGATCCATGCCAGACAAACAGTCTGAAGCTAGTATCTTATTAAAGGTAGACTAGAAAGGAGTGTTAGAACGTTTCGACATAATAGTGTTAACGACCATATGTGCTAGTCTTCATGCAGTTACCAAAACTAATAAAATGCTTGTTATCTTTATTCAATACACAGTTTGTTTACATATACGTACATATCATAAAAAAAAACACTCTAGATATATAAAACGCATATTGGTGATTTGAGATATCGCTTGGTAAGGGTTGCTAAGAAACCCGGGTTAATAAATAATATTCTATAAGGAGTTTTATCCTGCTGTCAGTAAGTTACCAAAACAATATAAGAAACTGTTCTAAGAAATTTCTAGAAAAGAATTTTATGAAACCGACCAAAAATGTTAGCAAGGTGAGTTCAAGACTGTCTGAAAACCTTCTGATTAATAATATGGCATATTTTTGTTAAAAAGTAGGTATAATAAACCTGCAGAAGTTAATTTATTATTTCATTTTCACACACATCAGAAACTAGGTAACTTATTTTAGATGAAAAACAAAGTTTGACGTTTTTAAACATGGATTAAATTTATTGAGCCTTAAAAGACTTTATGACTGAAATGTCAGGAATAAAATGAATCCCGTTTTCAAGTCGTATATAATCTATATATATATCGAGAATATCTTTTCTTTTCCGGTATGCTTTACATTCGTACTGAAAAGCTATATAAACTGGAACCTTAGAGCATGTGAATAGTTGATAATTAAGATTTTCACATCGTTTTACATCTCTCAATAGGTTTGAATGATGTTTCTGGTACAGTTTTAGAACATATATTCAACCAAATGGAAAAACATTGAAAATAATAAGTTTGTTTGTTTGTTTGAAGTTAAGCACAAAGCTACACAATGAGCTATCTGTGATCTGCCCACCAAGGGTATCGGAACCCGGATTCTATAGTTGTAAGTCCACAGACATACGAAAATGATAAGACTTGTGATCACGAAAATTCGATATTTATCTTCGATGCTGAACATAAGTAATTATGGAGTGTGATGCAGACCAATAGAGAAATGTTGAGATATAGTAGCTAATAACGTTAAGTAATTATGGAGTGCTATGTAGACAAATAGAGAAATGTTGAGATATAGTAGCTAATAACGTTAAGTAATTATGGAGTGCTATGTAGACAAATAGAGAAATGTTGAGATATAGTAGCTAATAACGTAAAGTAATTATGGAGTGTGATGTAGACAAATAGAGAAATGTTGAGATATAGTAGCTGATAACGTTAAGTAATTATGGAGTGCTATGTAGACAAATAGAGAAATGTTGAGATATAGTAGCTAATAACGTTAAAGAATTATGGAGTGTGATGTAGACCAATAGAGAAATGTTGAGATATAGTAAAAAAGTAAACATACAAATAAATACAGTTTAAAATTAAGATGGTAAATGCTAGGAAGTCGTCTTACAGGGGTTTCATTGGCGAGTTGTTTTTTTTCTCTGTTCTCTACTGAACCTATCCATCCCTCTTATCTACCATAAGGAAATACCTTTGAATTTATTACGAAAATAATTCTTCTATAAAATAAATCCTACAAAAATAGAGAAAAATATCAACTCCTTAAATCTGTCCACAAAAAACATCCCGTTCCCTGCAAACAATTTTTACAAGTTCGAACTAGTTTATTAGGACTTAATTTACAAGAAACGACATAAACCATGTTCGTGGGAGTGTAAGCCTGTCCATGGCACCCGAAACTAATAAAATCCTTCCAGTGCAAATGCTGTATCTGTTTTTCATCACAGGACTTATGTGCTTGGTCTATTGCCGGTGATAGAGTGCATCTTATCGCTCGTAAATGTATTGTCAGTTACAGTAGCAAATATCAATAGCATGCGATAAAAATAAAATATACGATCAAAGCAGTTTCATGTTGTGCCACAGGAATGTAAAAAAACAAAAATAAAATACGAATAAAAAAAACTTTTATTTTCAAGATCAAAAGTAGGATATTTTTGCAACTCCATATTACAAAAATAATCTTCGGAGATAATCTAATTATTATTTGTAAATTAACAAGGAGCTAAAATGCATGTAGCCACTTCGATTTTATTTTAGTCTATCATGTATAAGTAGAAACTGAGTTTCGAAGAAAAAAAAAAGATCCGCGGAAGCTTACTGATTTATTTGTAAAACAAAACTTAAAAAGTTGGTTGACATAATTAATAAAATTATCATTTAAAGTTATAGGATACAACGTATTTTCAAGGAATTATTCATGTAGCATAGATATAGCGTAGTAGGAAAACGTCTGAAAATAGTAATTGATATGGATAATTAACTAGCCAAACGCTCTGTACAAGGTTTTGTATACTTGGTATTGTTTGTGGTGTAATATGTAACTATGTAAGATTTTCTTAAACTATTCAGGCAATATTAGCTCTATATTCAATTCTCAGATTGTCTGTAAAATTACAGCAGTATAGTAAGTATATCATGTTTTAGTTCTCACATTAAACACATTTGAAACATATACATATTATTTAAGTAGTGTTGATTTTCCTGAGTTATGCGAGAATTACGAAAATATATTTCGAATAAAATTGAGTTCATATTATGTATATATATGTATATATTTAGTAGATATTGAAAATATCAGCTTTATTATTTACTTTGCTCAGCTCAGTTTTAAACTTTGTCATACGAATATGAATATACAGAAGTTTAACAGATATTATAATATTAAATTTTAATACCTACGATTTTTTAGGAAAAGCAAAAACAAACTGGAAATATATATACAGATGATCAAACCAAATTTTAACCTCAAATAGAATGTTCTGTGTTGAGAGTCATGTATTCTCAGATTCCTTCATAAGTTCTGCGACCTTTTACTCTGTTGTTTTATACTAGATGGTGTTTTTATATATATAAAAAAATGTCATATTGATCTATTATTCTTGTATGCATCATAATATATAAGTTATTGTTATCTATAAATGAATTTCGACCAGTCTGAAGGCTTAGAATGTTAAAAATGATATTTCGATACTCACGGTGGGCAGAGCAAAGATGGCCCATTATGTAATGGTGAGCTTAACAACAAACAAATAATTTGGATTACTCGTGCCAAAACCAAGTACGTTTCCTTTATTTGCTGTGCTTGTGTTGTTATGACATTATTAATTAGTATATATATATATATGTGTGTGTTGTATATAGATTTGATGAGGCAGAAGATTTTGACAGTTTCTCTATATTTGATGAATGTTATATACAAAAGCTTCTAGACTCTATGGTTCATTTTCACGGCCTCATTAAGGCCACTTTATGGATCATTCTATGGTTCTTTGTGACTGTTTCTTTGAGAAAGAGTGTTTCTGAGAACTCGCCGACTGATGGTTTATTTTGTCAGTTGTGTATACACATACTGGATCGAAGAAACGCCGTCCAGGTGTAAAGATTAGCACTAAAGACCATGATATGACCACGTAAGTTTGAGATTTGTGAAGATAGCTTAATACCAGTCTTAATTTAGTTGAAAGAAAAGTTAAGTTATACTTAATTCAATATACATCATTAACGGAAAATAAAAAGCAGCAACTAAAGAACATTAGAAGGAATAAAACACGTGTGTATTGTGTTAATCGTATGAATGTATTATAATATATCTCCTGTTGCTAAATGGAGAACAAATACTCAGGTTAGATGTGATGAAACCATCATATGTTAGATTATAGCACTAGATTTTCAGCACAAACCTGGAATGGTCAAACTCCTACTTATATATATGTTACGCTCAACCTCGTCCTTCGTTTCGTTTCATTTCTTTGCTTTAGCCCAAAACTATACAATGGGCTATCTGCCTTCTGTCCACCGCAGGGACTCGAAGCCCTATGATTTTAGCGTTGTAAGTCCGTAAACTTACCGCTGAGCAATCGAAGGACCAATCAGAGGATTCGGTCATTCACAGACAAAAAAAATACCATTTTGCGATTTGAGCAAGTAAAAAATTATCAAAGATCAAAATGAAGTCTTATTTCACTGTTTGTGCAAATCGAGAAATGTGAAATAGCATATAAGTAAAGGACGAAAGTGAAAGAAATAAGATAAACAGGTAAAGAATGAAACGAGAAATGTGAAATAGCATATAAGTAATGAACGAAAGTGAAAGAAATAAGATAAACAGGTAAAGAATGAAACGAGAAATGTGAAATAGCATATAAGTAAAGAATGAAAGTGAACGAAATAAGGTAAAGAATGAAACGAGAAATGTGAAATAGCATATAAGTAATGAACGAAAGTGAAAGAAATAAAATAAACAGGTAAAGAATGAAACGAGAAATGTTAAATATCATATAAGTAAAGAACGAAAGTGAAAGAAATAAGGTAAAGAATGAAACAACAAAAAAAGAGATAATTACTTCACTCTTTTCTTGAAGAGATATAAACAAATTGTGGTTGAAGCTGCGAACAGTAAGTAATTCCAGATAGTTTCAAGATGGAAACATCTAGTGAAAATGAAAAGCAATTTTTATAACTTTGTATCAGCACAGATGATAAAGTGTAGCGACATGTCTTTTTTTTTCGTCTGTAAGAAACTGTATTTCTAGATAACAAGGCGAGAACATTACGAACGTTACTTCAAATTCGCTTGAAGTTTAACGTTTGAGGTCTTCTTAAATTGCTTACTACAGCCCCTTTGCAAAAGAGTCCATTTTCATTGGTCTATCTTCCTGCATAAATAATAAATATATGAATAATTAAACAATTTGAACCTTTTATGTTCATATATATACATTCCAGTGGAAATTTTCTATTGCACTTGGTTCACATTTGTAACATTCTTCAAATAATTGCTATTCCCAGATTAATCAAGCGGCATTTTCAAATTCACTTTAAGAAGTGTTTCAGCTTCACCTACATATGTTCGATTAGTCTCTGACTAGTGAAATGTGTAATTTGCAATATGGACTCTAGCAGCGATTGCAAAACACAGAATGTGATCGTAATACATACATGGACATTGCCCTGAAAGGGGTCGGAGCAAGTGCGGTTTACTCCGACCCTCGTGTAGTACTAACCATCAACATTCAAGGACAACCTACCATGGTACGGAAGGGAGGAAGAGGTCTCAGAGTACCTGACCCTCCTAGGTCACAAAGACCTAAATTCCGATCAGGAGATCATGCAGCTTCACCTACAATTTGTGGTTTGATTATATCGCTTTACACAAAGAATATAGTAGCTATATTTCTTTTGTTCTTGTTTATTTCGTATTTTAAGTTTCGAAAACTTCAAAGTCAGATTTCATTTCGGTCTTTAACGAGTTCAACATGAGAAAATCGTGAAATGGTCATTCTTTTTTCGATGAGTAACCGAATCCTGAAACTGAGCGTAAATATAAAGCAGAAGGCTTTTAGAGATTAATGTGAAAGGACAAGCCCTGCCATCTTGTGATCAGAAAGTAATTCAACTAAAAACTGTAAGTCAGAAAAATTTATTTACGGATATCTAATAGTTAATGGAATATTTATACTCATTAGTAATGGTGTCATTTTTACGTTCCCAAAAGCTACAAATAAACTGCTTCACAGTATAGTTTCTGTGGAAATGAAGCAACGTTTTAATTTAGGATACTCCGCTGTTAAACCATATATTTCTAATCTAAAATATATTGCACATTATCGGTTGTAGAATATTTATTGAGTTTCAAAATTTAACAAAATTTGTGTTTTCGAGGAAAAAAAATATATATGTGTAATTGTGTATATATAATATAGTTCAAATACAGTCATATTTCAATGAACCAATTAAGAGTGAACAATATATATATATATAATATAGTTCAAATACAGTCATATTTCAATGAACCAATTAAGAGTGAACAATATATATATATATAATATAGTTCAAATACAGTCATATTTCAATGAACCAATTAAGAGTGAACGAACCTGACGAAATTATTTTACTAGAAGCAGTATGGGATATTTTTATTTTACAGTAGGAAGTTTAATGAAAATCTTGTAAACCACTGACCAGTGAGCAGAGATAAGATCATAGTATCAGAAAGTTCTTACCAAGATAAATTAGCTCAGCCCTCTTCATTTTCTTAATCTGTCTTGCAGAATTATTTTTTGGACAAGTATAATCTCTGAATATGTATAAATAGTTCCGTTGTATTTAACTTTAATCATTTTAATTTTATTTAGACGTTGTGAAACATGGGATCAGTTCATATTGTAACAGCTAAATTTGTACGATTAACTCAAATGTAACATAATTTTAATGCATTAAATCCCATTTTCGATATATTTCAGAAAACGTGATTTATAATGTTTGTGAAACTTTTTCTTCTGTCAAAACATTTCTCGTATATTAAAAGAGAGAAGAAAAAAAAACACTCGGATTTTTGGCTGGCCTCTCTTCTAGACTGTATTCACTTATCAGAAAGCTAACCAGTACTGTGATCCTCACTGATCACAAACCAATTAAAGGTCGAGTTTCTTACCGCTGAAGTTATATAATATCTTCGTAAAAGTACTAATGTCCGATATGAATCCACTGGTTTGTAATGTTCGAAATTTATAAATGTTCCTGGTCAAATATCTGAAGTTTCCCGACTAAATCACAATTATAGCTTCCAAGCTTTATAGTATACCAACTATAGCAAACCAATAATATATACTGTCTTTAGGCGCATCACGTTGATTATATTTATAGGCGTGAGGAGAGTTTCTCGAAATTTCAGCTTACGTAACAATATAAACGACACACCAGTGTTTACGTACACACATATATTGTTGATTCTTACACTCGAGAATTTTATACAGTTTTAGTGAATATGTGGGAAATTCGCTATACAGATTTAACAGTATGAATTATGTACATTTTTAAATATAAATTTAACTTATACAAACATCGATATTACAATAGATATATAAGAGTAAATCCTTCACATTGTATTATATGTTGATATACATAAATAGATATAAAAATCTTATATATTTTCTGCGAGTAATAACGAGAACTGCAAGGCTCTGAAATAAACATTAATCCAGTGAGAAGTAATAAATCGGATGATAGACCGGGCTACAAATGTATTTCTTAGATAGTTGGACATCTTATATAGCTAAATAATATACAATAATTAATTAGTATTATTGTATATGCGTATATCTAAGTTTTCTAAACAACTGCTGGTTTAGTGTGTGAGTAAAAGACATTTAACTACGCCATTCATATAACATCAACTCCAACACTATATGAGGCCTACTCTTAA